AAATACATGAATACAATTTAGCATTACAAGCAGTTGGCCGTGGTGATGAAGCAAAACCAGTATCCTTAGTAGTTTCAATTGGTACAGGCTTAGTTCCTGTTTCGATTCTGAAAGAAATTGATTTATTCAGGCCTGAAAGTGTTTGGGATACTGCGAGACTGGCTATAGGCATATCAGCTATAGGTAATTTATTAGTGGACCAAGCTACTGCAAGTGATGGAAGGGTAGTAGATAGAGCCAGAGCTTGGTGTTCCATGATAGGTGTGCCGTACTTTAGATTTTCACCTCAGCTATCTGAAGAAGTAGCCATGGATGAGAAAAATGATGAAAAATTAGTTAATATGTTGTGGGAAGCAAAAGCATATATGCATAGTAACTATAACGTTTTAGTTGAAATAGCTGATTTGTTGAAAGCTTTCTAATTTTTTTGTGATAATCACTTTATAGCTAGTCCAATTATGATCACAAATTAAAATTTTACTTATCAGCACCTTTTGTTAAATGTACAAATAATTGTTAGCTAGATAATCATTTATTTATTTTAACTTGAATGTAGCCAAAATGATAATTATAATGGAGCTATTAACTGTTTCAATATATCATGCCAATTGTGATATAATTTACATTATTAGTTATTGTACTTATTTTGTTATTAATAATAAATATTTTAATTATTGTTTAAATGTTCTATATAATCAAATAAGCTTTATTCAGAAGCAAAAATCTAGTGTAGTGAAATATAAACCAAAATGTTTGTATAATAAAGCACTGCTCAAATTCAACAATTGACAAATTCTTTCTTCAAGGACTGATTGGTGCTAATCACATAGGCAGAGTAGTAAAAACAGAATAGATAGTAAAATAGTACATAAATAATGTAATTATTACATAACTTCATATTTTCTTTACTAATTTCCATCTATGGAAAATTAATTATGCTTATTAACTTACATATTTGAAGATAGCTGCCATCTAAACTAGTGAGCGCATGGCATAGTGCCTTAAGGCAAATTAATTACATGCTTATTATATTGGACGACAAATGTGTTCTACAAACAACTTATGTGTATGTTTACAAGAAGTTTGTCCATTTTTTTTCAAAGTTTTGAAAAATTTTTAAAAGTCGGATTTATTTGAAATTTTTGAAAAAATCGTTTTTTTTTCAATTTTGAGAATTTTTGAAAATACACGATTTTTTTTTGAAAATTTCGAAATATTCTCAAATTTTTATAAGAAATCGTTTTTTCTAAATTTTTTGAGATATTGATTTTTTTTAAATGATAACCATATACTTGGATATTGAAATTAAAAATCTTGGTACGGAACCCAAAAAATTGACAAAATGTATACACATTATTAAAATCTTTATAAAATATCTAATAATTTGATATGCATATGTCCAATGAACATTTTTGACCGCCAAATGGCATTTTTTAACATATTTTTATTGAGAGTCTGCAACCGCTACACCTGCCTGTCCAAAGAATTGAACAGACCTTCGTTTAATCAATGTAAATAAAATGTTTTTTGAATTATTCAAATCGGATGCTTCGTTTTCTCAAAAACTGAATTACCATTTTTCGTTCTTTTTGCCCCGTATCTTCGAAACGGCTAGACCTGCCTATGCCAAAAACTAATCAGCACGTCTCCTTATCAGTAGGAATCGAGTGTTTTATACCCACACACATACATCCATTTTTTCTAAGGTATGCCAAAACGTTCAAAAACATTTGAAACGTAAAGATATATGAAAATTTTCATCACTTACCCTATGGCAAGTTGAAAATATTTGAAAAAGTATGCATATTATAATTTAGAAAGCAAGATGTAATAATACATAATTATAATATTAGATTTAAAATTATTTATTGCCTTTTTCAACTTGAAAGTAAATATTAAATGTTTAAGTAAAAATTACGATAACAAAAGGTTGTGCAACCCGGGTCACATGTAGATCTTGTGTTGTCAAAATAAATTATACACTTTTTATAAGGTTAATTTATTTAGATCTGTGTGCTTCGATCAAGGTGCAACTTACAGTGAAATATTGCTTATAATACACAAAAAAAACTGATTTTAATTTGCAGATATGTAATTTACCGAAATTTGATCATGAAGATGTCTTAAAGAAGTGTTATAGTATATTACAAGCCAAAAAATCTATAATGAAATAAAATGAATCTCACGTGAAAGCAACAGTTGGTTTGATTGTATAAACAAAACTATATAGCAGAAACTTTGATGTTGGCTTTTTTATTCATGTCTTATGAAACTTTTAATTCTTGAACATAATAGAAAATTCCAATAAAATGTTCTGAAAGAATCTTACAAGATTAACATATGCTATCATACAATGATCTCAAATAATCAAATTTTAGTAGTGAATGTTTTAAATATTGTGGCATTGAAACTGAGAATACTTCGTATACTTTAAAAGAAATTCAAGTAAGTACATATTATAATTCTTTGCATCATAAAAATGTACTTTGTTTATAATTTTATATGTTGTGCTTAGCTTTACCAAAATGGATATTGTTTCTGGTTTGTAAAAAACAAATTTAAATTGAATACAAATAATTCTTAAACATTAATTTTGTATATTGACTAATTCTGTGTTTGTAGAACATAATAATAATTCCCATTGGCCTCGAAGAAATTTTCGCAATACAATCATTGTCTCTGGAGTGCGAGTTGGGTATTGGATCTCACATCTTTGGCAAGATATGAGACGGAAAAGCCCTGTAGCAGTTCAGCATTGGGTAGACTCTTTGCCAAGCCCGGTATTTTTAAATATATTTTTTAACTGAGATATATCTTGCTTTTCAATATTAATTTACGTTTTTATTGCAATATATAAAATGCCTTATTGTTACATATTTTGTGTCTACATATCTTAAGGCATATTTTTCATTTTATAGTAATTCACTACTTAATTTGATTAATTTCATTTATCATTAGATAAGACCACCAGCAGAATCAAATGCTTGTGCAGAAGTAACAGTATTGCCTAGTAAATCTCAAAAGAATCTGATAAAGAAAAATGTGAGGAAGAAGTTGAGCTCAAGCCTTCGAATAATGGTGTTGATGTTTTGCAAGATAATTCAATTGTGAAATCAAGCAGCTTTAGCAAAAATGTTACTGATAATAAATCTGCAGCTATATCACATTCCACTCCAGTTCGAATACCAAGAAGAGGAACAATTGTGAGGGAAGCCTCTTTACCTTCAGATAGCCCACAAAGGAGAAGACTTCTTCTTAGAGATTCCTCTTTTCAAGTAAGATAAAATTACTATATTAATAATTATTTTAAAACATTAATTTATTTGGACAGCTAGTAAAAATGATTAGTGTTTTAATATTTTAGCTTATGTATAAATGAATGAACATGCAAAATATAATTATTTTTAATTCTTCTCTTATATTTTTAGTCAGATGATGCAGTCAGTCGATGTTCAAGTGTGGATAGTTTGTTAGAATCTCGAAGGCCTGATCCAGAAGCTGTATTACTTGGCTTGGGTTTTGGACCAACTTTGTCTCAAACAGATCTGTCTAGAATTCCACAAAGATTTTTAGGACCATCAAAAGTCAAAGGTGTAAATACTGAGAAATTTTTAAAACAACAACAACTACAAAGGGAGATGCATGAAACTGGGGTTTGGGGCTATCGTGGTTTAACAGGTATCACTCTTAAGTGTGTTTATTTTACATTGTTAAAAGATATGAATTCATATAGTATTAAACATTTTTTCATAGATCTGGAAACATCAGCATACTCCAATGAGTTTGTGATTAATACAAATTAAAATTAAAATAAGTAAGAAATTGTTTTGGGTGTTGCTTCCTTGCATGTGATTGTTGTGTTCTTTATACAATATTGAATTTTTACTTATCATTAGTGAAGTTTTTATTTTTAAACTTTTAAATTCAATGCAGTTTTTATAGTATTACAATTAGTAAGTTTATGTTGTCAATAGTTTAATGTTTTTTCGACGTATAACTTAAAGTAGAATGAATGAGTTCAATTTTACAGAAGTAATTGAGAATGTAAATGTTATCACATCCTTTGATTGACTAGAGCATGTTTCAAATATATTTTTCTAGAATGTAACTTCAATTTTAGAAAGTATACATAATGCTTTTAAAAATTCAAATAAAACTGATTTTTTTATTTATTATAGGAGATCCTCATTCACCACCTTCACATATAGTAGCTAAAATTATAGAACGAATTCACAGCAGTGAGCAACAGCAACAAGGTTTAGATTGCATTGCACCTGATTCCAATAATTTGTTTTAAAATTATTGTTTTTCTTTTATAATTTATATTTTAATTTCCTGAAAATATTATTACTTGTATTTATTTACATCTGTGGTTGTTATACTATTTATAGGTTGATTTAATATTTTTATATTAATAGAATAGGATATATCAGAAAATGCACAAAAGAATGAATGTTAGTTCTAATATTGTATTATTATTTAAGAAACCGTAACTGTGACTAATTGTACAATCATTAATATAATATAAATTTATATTTATTTTACCAATGTTTTTTTAATTACTATAATAAGATTTACTGTATAATGTAAAAATATTTATTAATTGATTAAAGTTTATGTGAAATAAGCATATAATAAGATATACCTTTCTTATTTTACACATCAATTAAATGTTTCAAATAACAGTAATAAAAAAAAATTATATTATTGTGAATATGGTACGCGCTTTTTAAATAAAATTAAAACAAATTGTCAATAATTTCAAATTTATATTCGTTTTTTATTACAATGTTGGTTACGCTGTTTTCACTTGTGGCAGCATTGGTATGATTTTGCATCTTCTAGAATGTTATGAAACAACTTCATAGTTATAAAGCTATTTATATCACATTTACAATAAAAAATTGCGTGTTATTATTATTTATATATTTGCAAAGCAAATTTACCATATTTTTGTTTCTCTTTTCTGTAATTATTTTTAATAAATTAGGTGAAGTGAATGCAAAGTGGCATTAACGACTCTTTATTGTTTACGTAAAGTTTTTGTTGTTTAAATATTGGGTGGTTTGACATTTCGGAAATAAAAAAGCTTATTTGATGCAATTTTATTCATTTGTAAAATTCGGAATTCATTAAGAATGAAAATTTACATTTTTTATGTACCATAGCCAGGTAATATTACAGTTTTTTATTTCAAAACCATTTAAAACACATATGCTTTGCTCTCTTTATACAATATTTCATCGTTTTCAGAATCATGACTAATGAAGAATTGCCAGTTAGCTTAGAGAAGCTTGAAATAGTATCAAGATTTCAAAATATTGATGATACTAACAAAGCTTCTAAGAATCCATTTAATAAAAAATTGCTTGCAGTTGAAAATGATTCAACAAATAAACATATCCATGTAATATCACAAACACAATTCAAAAAAAATCCACAGAAGAAACCTATTTTAAGAGAACCAGTATTAAAATTGGTCGTACGGAATATGAAGAAAAATCCTAATAATCCAGTATTAGGATGCAAAACAAGAACACATTTATCGAAGACTGCCAAAGTATTTGGTGATGAACAGTCAGATTCTTTAAATTTTAAATCATTGCTTTCTAGCTGTCCTGAATTTGCATCTAAGCCCAAAGCTGCAAACAAGCAGTACTCACAAAAAGTATTTAAACAAGTTAGATGCAAATCTAAAACATTAGAAAATCAATTAGAAGTTCATCGTAGTTTAATGTTAAAATCAACCGAAGTGCATAGTTCTTGCTCTCAGCAAGCCAGAATGAATGAACCATGTGATATAACAATTGATGAATTAGCATCATATTTTGAGACTTTTGTTCACATACCTAAAAAGATGTCTTCAATGGCAGAAATGATGTATATTTAATGATATTTTTTTCATATTTGTAAATTGTTTACTTATAAGTTCTCTATATTTATGTAAATGAATTAGTGTAATATTGATAAAGTACCATTAGTTCATGTTTTTGTATACATATAAATCAAATAGTATATTACATCATCTAAGCTATAATAAATTAGTAGTTAAATTTAAGTAGAAGAATATTTGTGTTTGAGATCCAATTTGTAATTGATATTGTATTCTTGTCAGTATGTTCTCAATAAGAAAATAAATATTTTTATATGTTATTGTCTAGATCACTATACATATACCACTTCCTATTTATATAAGTTTAACACCTAAAGAAACAATTAATTGGTGAACATCTAAAATGTATGTACATTGATAAAATGACTCATTGAATGTCATTAAAAGTCCTATCGAATAGAATGCTTATTAATAGTAATTAGTAGTGTTGTTTATGCTATTTTAATAGAAATATTTATGAGTAAGTTCTTATAGGGTGATACATCAAAGAAAAAAACAAAGATTAATGAATTAATCTTTAATTCCAAATTAATTAATTAATTAATAAGTTTCAACATTCAATTTAATGTAAAGATCAGTGAATATTAACTTTGGTAGCTTACATCTAAAGATGTGGACACAATAGAAAAAAAAATAGCATTAACATTAATGTTAGTGCTATTCATTGTCAACACAATGAATTTTTATCCTTTTTTATATGAAATGTAAAAAGCATAATGATAATTTTAGTTGACAAAAATGTGAAAAGTTAAGTAATTTCTGCAACAACTTGTGTATAATACAGTGTCCGAGGCTGATCCCTTGAGATTTTATATATAAAAAATTAAATACAAGTAATGGAATGATTCATGTGAGAAGCAAAAAAAAGTATCCTCCATCATGTTTATTAAAGGTGCTTCTTTTTTGCTATCTCTACTAAGGAGTCTTCTTATCTACATCAACTCTTCAATTTTTTCAAGTTTATTTGTGACTAATGAAACGCTTTGCCATTTGAAAAGACCATCGTTATGTATAAAATATTGATCTTATGTTGATAACGAAGGTTGATCATATTTTGTATATTATATTCTAGGAAGGTTCCTATTTATACTATACTACTTCCTATTTATTTATATTTAACACTAATGTTGAACACCTAAAGGAACAATTAATTGGTGAAAATTTAGTATGTATGTACATTGATAAAATGACTCACTGAATGCCATTGAAAGTCTTATCGAATAGAATTATTATAAGTAGAATGTTGTTTCGGCTTTTTTATATAGAAAGATTTACATATAATAAATTAAATACAAATGATAAGATAATGCATGTGAGAAGCAAAGAAAGTATATAATAAAAAAAAGCAGTGTTTATTAAAGGTGCTTATTTTTTGCCTTTTTTACTCATAATAAGGAGTCTTTTTATCTACATCAACAGTTTCTTCAATTTTTTCATGATAATTTAAGACTAATGAAACGCTTTGCTATTCTGAAAAGACCATCATTATATATAAAATATTGATCTTATGTTGATAACGAAGGTTGATCATATTTTGTATATTATATTCTAGGAAGGTTGACGACTACGTGATGACATAAACAACCCTGGAACTTACAAAACTTTTGGTGGGGAGTGTACGATAACCCAGAAATGTAGTGGGGAGACATCTGAACGCCATTCTGCTTTGACAGCTGACATATTGTATTCATTGTCTAACAGTTTGTTTACAAGATTAGTCAACAGAAATATTGCGTTTGAAATAAAAGTGTTAATTTCATTTAAACTTTTAATTTTCGAAATGGGTCCAATGCATTCGTTAATTCTTTTACGATCTGATTACAAAGTATTAAACCTACTGCATTCAAACGAGTGAAAATATCAAATGTTTTTAAAGTTATGAAAGCTCCAAGATTGCGTCATGTTCTATTGAACAAAACAACCTGAAATATAAGTCTGAAAATGAAATAAAGAATACAAATTGTGATTTTAAACTGCTTTAACACCGAAATGGTAATTAGATTCTATAATTAATTTATTTTTAAAAATTTTGTACTTTTTTGTATTTTATACGGGATATATTTTTTACTAGTTAGAAAAATTCAACAATATTTCTGTTGCAGTAAACAAGCTTTTCTTTTCGTCTTTTTAAATTACATAAAAAGTAAATAATATTTTGATGTACTATTTTTGTGCGCGGAATCAATGTCAGCGTCACCAAATGGAGGGAGTATGCTAGTTCCTGAAAATTCCGCATCCACTTTACTGTCACTGTCATTCGCGAGTCAACTTTGTTCGTGAATACTGTGAGCATATTTTCTCAAGATTGGTTGATACTTAATTCAAGATTTATCCACGGACGCATCCGGGTAAGTGATCTAAAAAATATATTATAATTAAATATTACTTATTACTAGTAGGTAAATCTTCAATTTTGGGTATAGTCTGCAAAATTGGACGGTTTACCATGGTTGCTAAGGGAGATGGTAATCAATTGTAGAGCTGTAAAAATGGCACAGGAATTATTTATATTTGTCTTATTACCATATACTAATTAATATAAATTCCATATCCTCCTTTAAAACACTCCATGAACGTATTCATTATTTATCATTCCATACCCTAATCCCTTAAAATTTAAAATCGCCAAGTGTAAATATTAATCATTAATTAAAAATGATTAAATCGTGTACAATTTATTTATTTACCAAAATTTTTTAATAATTTCCATGCGTTCTCGAAAATTCCGTGCAAGTTGAAACTTGTTTCAACCAATGAAGTGGAATGACGCCATATTGTATACTTGCTCTGTCATCGTTCAGAAAATTTGTATAAATTCTCTTTCATTTAATTTTAACGAGTCATAAATAGTCGAGATTTATTATTTTTAGTTAAAGGTTTGTAATAAATCATAATTTGTTATATGAATCCTATTTATGCCTATTTATATTCACTCGAGTTATATATGCGTTTGACAGATGATGTAATTTTTTGTTGCCTTTTCATCCAACTCAGCTTTATTACTCATAGTAACATGAGTAATAAAGTTTGTTTTATAAATATTATCAGGTTGTTAATATTCTTGGCTTCATTTACAACGAACAATATATTTAATTACATTTGGTTTCCAGATTCAAAGATTTTTTCTTGCATTTTATAACATCGTTCGAGTTTTTAATATTACTTAACAAGTGGTTGTTTCAACATTAAATTTTGTAATAATTATTCAGAGTTCTACTAATTAGTACTTGATTTTGAAAGTAATAGTGATTAACATCACTGATATGTTACTGCAAAATATTAACAAATAATTCGCATTTTTTAAATATTTGACTACATATTCATCCATACATATTCATATATCAAGTTTCGCATAATATATTACGTAATTTTTTTATATGCGTAAAAGCCTAGTAATAAATTCTGCCTTGTTTACTGCCTCGATTTACAGTTATAATTTGGCACGAAAAGTCTTCAGACTTCGAACAAGTTTTAATTATAAAAAAAATCTTGGGCTTGTGTAAAACAATTTGAATAATTCTTTAATTTCAGAAGATGTGGAGGAATTATATAGAATTGTTCAAAATGCCCTGTTTTATGTAACTTTTTAATTGACCAACTTCAATCATGAAGACTAATTTTATTCTACAATATTTCTGATATTGTTATATAATATTGGAATAATTATGATTCCAAATTTCCTTTATTTCACATTATATATATATTTAGTTCAAAATTACATTAGTTAGTCAATGCCGTAGGAAAAAAAACCTGATAACAGTGGAATTTTACCGAATTTTACTTATTCATTCCGGAGCGTAATTGTTTTGTAGATAATGTGCCTTTTCTTCACAATAGATTATTTTAAATTATTTTTAATGGACTTTCGAAAAAGCCACACTGACTAATGCATTATTCTTAGAAGTGCGTAGAATCATATTATTCAGAACGTTTCAGAATTATGAGGGTCTTGAGCAATAGTATGGAAAATCATATAGAAGTTTTTAGTCATTCATTTATGATTTTATTTCTTGCTCTGTGTAAGTGCGTAATTCAGTGGTTTCCAAACTTTTCGCATCGCGCCCCTACAACTTCTTGATTTTTCTAGTGATCTAGTTTAAAAATATTCAACTGATATGGAATATATATTTTTATATATATTAAATATATTAATGTTTATAAAAAAGATTTTATCTGAAAATATATTAATTAATTGAGCAATATAAATATAAATTACTAGGTCAACAAATTATTACATCAACTGATATAATTTTTTATTGGACAATACAATACTATGTGAAAATATACATAAAAATTTATTTATTTATTTATTAACTTCCCATAGGGCAAGTTATAGTAATCGCAAAAAACCGAAAATGAAAGTTTTTATTTATCTTTACGTTTGAAAGGTTTCTGAACATTTTGGCATACCTCAGAAAAAATGGATGTATGTGTGTGTGCGTGCGGATACTAATTTTTGTCGACGATTTCGCGAACACGGATCAAGCGATTTGAATAATTTCAATTCGATTCCTACTGATAAGGAGACGTGTCCTGATTAGTTTTTGGCAAAGGCTGTCTAGCCGTTTCGGAGATACGGGGCAAAAAGTGCCAAAAATGGTATTTCAGTTTTTGAGATAGCGGAGCGTCCGATTTAAATAATTCAAAAAACATTTGACGAAATGATTAACTGGTGAAATTTTGTAAAGGCAGATCGAAAATACTATGTATTTTGAAAACAGCTGCGCGCCCCACAGGTTGGAAACCACTGGTCTAATCTGTAGGCTGTTTATGAAGCTGTGGATTATATGGGTATTGCGTCATTGCTAACAAATACATGTGTATTTAATAACGACTGTAGTTTTCCGCAGTTTTACAAATAAATTGTTATAAAATATTCCAATTTTTGTTTTAGAATTAATACTATCCTAACCTTATATTATTTTTTAACCTATTTTTTCTAAATACGTTTGAAAATGACAGACATTAATTATTATTTATCAAACAGTCTAATTTCAATTAGATGGGAACCTCATGAAACAAATTTTGATTTAAAATGGCAGAATCTTTATACTTGTTTATCTATGAGTAGTATCTTCTATGATATTAGTATATCTTCATTGCTCTTGTAAGAAAATTAAAAAAAAATACAGTAAATTCAAACTCTTCTTTAGAAAATTGTTATGGAATCATAATTTTCATTATTATTTATCAAACTTGAACAATTTTTTTTTATAATGAGACTAATTCTATCAAATGTTCTGTTACTTCAGATTGCGTCATGTTGTTATTAATATCTCCTCTTGCATAATTACTGTGCGTTGTTTCAAACTATCTAAATCTACGCATAAAATACTAAATAAATTCTGTCTGGGCAAAATTACATTTATTTTGCTAAACTTTGTTATTGACTATTCAAGTTTTTTTACAGTTTATTTTTTTAATGGTACGTTTGATATTCAAATACTAGACGACCTTCTCGTTCGTGATGAGAAATACTATAATTATAAATTGCTTGATCATTTTAAACCAGAAATATTTTGAGAACAGAATAAAAATTATATAGCATATATTGGAATATAATAAAATTCTCATTAAACTCGATTTTTTTTTTAGAAAATTGCAAAGAACAATAAATTATAATTCATTTATTTATATTAATTTAATTAATTTGATTATTATTAGCTTTTTCCAGCACAAAGTTTTTAATGCATTATATTCGATAAATGTAACTTTATATCATATGGATAAGGCGATTTCAAACAGCTGTTTCTCATAGATAATTTTTAATCTCGCTCATTAAAAGGCAAATTTTGCTCGTGATTTTAAATTATATATAGTCATTAAAAATTCGGCGAATTTACTGATTATCAGTTGTAACTTCAGGAAGATATTTTCTGCTAGCCTGTGCAAACATTACTGTAATCACTCTCAAAATTTCAATATTCAACATTTTTATCTCAGATCGTTATGTGGATAAGCGATCATAAATATGTAAATTTAATATATTTCTATCTATATCTTCCTTCGATGCGAAAAATATTCCGAAGTGATAACGTATTTAGATATTTTTGTATTACGAAATCTTGATACTTGACTCTACTCGTACCTAGTTATCAAGCTTTTTATATTTTTAGGTATTTTGATGTAAATTTATCTGCTTTATAATAATAATTTTTTTTATATATTTTTACGTTTCAAAGGTTTTTGAACATTTTGGCATACCTTAGAAAAAATGGATGTGTGTGTATGCGTGAGTGGGTGCGGGTACAAATTTTCGTCGACGATTTCGGGATCACCGATCAACCGATTTGAATAATTCAAAAAACATTCGATTCGTATTGATAAGGAGACCTGCTGATTAGTTTTTGGCAAAGGCAGGTCTAGCCGTTCTGAAGATACGGGGCAAAAAGTACTAAAAACGGTAACTCAGTTTTTAAGAGAACGGAGAAAAACATTTTTGGATTATTAAAATGTCTTGACAAGATGAAGAACTGATTAAATTTTTGTGAAGGCACGTCCAGCGGTTATGGACTCTCAATAAAAATAAGTTAAAAAAATGTCATTTGGCGGTCAAAAATGTTTATTGGACATATGTACATGAAATTATATTTTGTTTTAATTTTCTGGGGTTCCGTACCAAGATTTTTAATTATGGTACGGGAAGTTCCAGCAATTTGTCTTAAGCCACGATGCCATCCATGCACCCCACTAGTTTGTGCTTCTATTTATCATTATTTATTATTGGATATTTGCTGGTTTATATCCATTGGTGGCCTTTTAATGATACAAAAACTATCACTAAAAACCAAAATCCAAGGTCGTTACGTTCATTCCGTAATTAATTTTAATTTTTGTTGCGTTCTTTATTTATTTATATTTGCAAATTATGCGTTTTTTAAATTAATCCATTTTCACTCAATGTATATTCATATGTTAATGGAATTTGACATGTGTAACATTGCAGCAACTTCATCAAGATAAGAATTGGCACGTGTTCTTGTTTTTTTCAGTATGAGAATTATGTCAGGGATTTATTATTGTTTATTGCAATATTTTTCTTGGTTTATTTTCGTATCATTTAAAAATCACCTTTATCTAACGAAATAAAATTTGAGGAGATAAATCCTAAAATAATGGTACAAATAAAATATTTACAAGCGACCTAATAATTTGGGTTACTTCAATGCAAATATGAGATTGCATTACTCAAAAGTATAAAATGTTTTTTTTGGTATAAAATGCAGATTGTTTTTTATACTAAATTTAAGAATTACATAATGGCCATTAAATGTATGATAAGATTGTTTACAAAAGCTGTGGCCGTTGCTCTCATTCTAGGAATGTTTTCTACGATAACACTTCCTTG